ACTGCTAGGTGGGCAGGAGCAGGGACCGAACGACGGGAGCTCACCCCGCCGCGGGGATTCGAACCGCCGACCATACGATCAGCAAGTCCCAGGCAATGAGGTTTTACCCACAGCACCACCCGCGTCCCTAAAGCTCAGGTAGGCATGCTGAATCTGCCTAGATCCTGGAATCATCTCATCATGGTGATCCTTCTTAAGCCAAGCAACAGGCACAGCAGTGATGGGCACATTGCACATGTAGCAATGGTGAACAACCCACCCACAAAACTGTACTGTACTACATTTTTTGCAGGTCCTCTGTTCTGCATTAGCATTAAAGGAGCAGGGGAAACCCCCCGTTTAGGCATTCTCTTGGTAGCAGCCCTTAACATGCTTCCAATGGTGGCAAGTTTCACTATAACCTGTTACTTGCTTGAAAAGGGCAGATACAAAAGCTACTAAGGTTGCTTGTGATTTAAGATTAAGCTTCTTCTGCTTGATCACCTGGAAGCAATTCTTCACGGGTCACAGGGCAGATAGCCGAGTGGTTGTATACAGGTCTGGTAAAAATAAGAGTAAGACTACCAGCATATGTTATTCCCAAAGTCCAAAAAGCTTCCTTTAAGGGCAGGGAAAGGGAGGCAGGAAGCTCTTTAAGGTAAAGGGACCCCTGACCATTAGGTCCAGTCGTGACCGATTCTGGGGTTGTGCTACTCATCTCGCTTTATTGGTCGAGGGAGCCAGCGTACAGCTTCCGGGTCATGTGGCCAGCATGACTAAGCCGCTTCTGGCGAACCAGAGCAGCGCACGGAAACGCCGTTTACCTTCCCGCCAGAGTGGTACCTATTTATCTACTTGCACTTTGATGTGCTTTTGAACTGCTAGGTTGGCAGGAGCAAGGACCGAGCAACAGGAGCTCACCCTGTTGCCAGGATTCAAACTGCCAACCTTCCGATCGGGAAGCCCTAGGCCCTGTGGTTTAGACCACGGTGCCAACTGCGTCCTAGGAAGCTCTTTACTGAACTGCATCTCCATCTCCACCAAAATATGGACCAAGGCCAAGGGTGCCAATTTGAATAAATTATTGGGGGCTCCTGTGACCACGGATGATGGACAAAAAAGGGAGAAAAGAAGGAAGGGAATAGCCAGATGAATAGTAATCTATGGTGCAGGAGAGATGGCCTGTGAGAAATATGTGATGGATGAATAAATGAGTTGAACGGCTGAAAAGTTGCATATGGATCACGGGTACATAAAGGGAGGCTGCGGCCTATTCGGCAGCCCGCCGGCTGGAAGATCCCGGGAGCGGTTTTGCAGGCCGGGGATTTCCTAGGTGCAGGAAGGAAACGCTGCTTGGGAAAACGCATGGCCCATAGACAAAGGAAAACTGGTCGTCGGGATTCGAGAGAAAATCAGATCGGGATCCTCCTGCGCGGAAACCGCTTTCCTTTCCCCCTTCCGGCATGCAACTCTGGGGGAAGCCCTTTCCCCCCTACTCGCTCTCCCAGGACACACCGGCCCGTTTCCCTGGGGGGAGACAGATTCTATCTAGGAAGGGGGGGGATCCGCTTAAAAGATGCCCTGACTCCGTGGATCTCGACGCGCCCTCGAGGGATTCACATCTAGGAGGGGGCAAATCCTAGGCGGATTCCGATGCCCTTTCCCTAGCTGCAATGCGGGAGACCCGGGAAGAGGCCCTGGCCCCCCTCCCCCAGCGTGCGCCCTCTCTCCTTTCCGGCCAGATGTTCCCTGCAGCTCCAGCTGCGCTTCTTAAAGAGGCAGCCCCTGGGTCGCGGCGAACTCACCGAGGCGCCTCCTTCCACCACCCTCCTTTTCCAGCTCTCCGGGGACGATGCGCGTCGGGTTTTCTCCCTTGCCCCCACCCCCACCCCCCAGCTGGAAACTGGGAAAGGAAGGGGAGGTCGGCGCTGGGAAAGAGGAGCAATAATCCCTTTTAAAATTGGAGGCGGATCGAGTCGGGAGGCCAATGGGAATGCCGGAAAGGAACAGTTGGATCTCCGGAGTGGCCAATCCGAGGGAAGGGATGGGGGAGGGTGCAGGTGGGCAGCCAATGCGGAAGAGGTGCAAGGAAACTAAAATCAAAAATACAATAAAATAGCTTCGTATTCCCGGGTTCGACTCGTTTTTGCGCTCCGGCGAGTCCTTCAAACGACTGGGGAGGAATCCGCGGTGCGAGCGCGCATCCGCGTCCACACGCACTCGGTGGGACAGGGGCCAAAACTGCCCGGCAGCATTCTCACCAAGCTACACACCCGTGAATATTTTAGGGAAGCCTTGGCAGTTACAACCAGCACAGAATTTATGGAAGTTTGCGGTGCAGATATGGACAGGAGTGAATAGGAGGAGCCTGGGGGGAACTAGATGGTAACATTTGGAGGAGAATGATAGAATTGTAGAGTTGGAAGGGACCCCACGGGGTCATCTAGTACAACCCCCTGCAATGCAGGAATCTCATCCATGCCAGATGACCATCCAACCTCTGCTTAAAAACTCCCAGTCCATCACCTTTTGAGGGGGACCTTTACATTGACAAACTGCTTTTACTGTCAGAAAGTTATTCCTGATATTTAGTCGGACTCTCCATTCTTGTAACCTGAAGCCAGTGGCGTAGCGTGGGAGGTGCAGGGGGGCCGGCCACACCGGGCGCAACATCTCGCACTCGCAGCTCTCTACCCCTCCCGGGTTAGGGGGCGCAAATTACTTGCCATGCCCCGGGTGCTGACAACCCACGCTACGCCACTGCTTGAAGCCATTGGTTCCAGTCCTAGCCTCTGGAGTAGGATAAAACAAGCTTGCTCCCTCTTCCATGCAACAGCCCTTTGAATATGGGAAGAGGGCTATCATATCCCCTCGGTCTCCTCATTACCAGGCTAAACGTAGCCAACTGCCTCAACCCTTTCCAAGTACTTACGACATGGAAAATATTTCACAGGACCTGGATATTAAGCACACAATGTATGGAAATTTAACTCCTCCAACAAGAACAATAAAAGGACAAGAGAAACCAGAGGCTATTTGGGCTAATTAGTACAACTATTAATTTTACAAACCATCAGTGTTCCTTTTGCAATTTATCTTCAACTCTGGGTTTCCTAAGGAAGTGAGTTTTATATAATCCTCTCGTAATCTTTTGTCAATCAAGCTCCTTGCAGGTGTGACCTGGCAATCTCTACTGTAGACGGCAGGGCTTTTGCTGACAGAGTTCATTAGGTGAATCCCACCCATAGTATCCAGCCACATCAGAACAGCATCATCTGTGCCACAACTGGAAAGCAGGAAAATGTGCTGTGTGCAGTGCAGATAACCCAAGGCAGTTAAACCAAGCACAGTTTATTGATCTATTCTATTCTATTCTATTTGTAAACTGTATATTCCAAGAAATCTCCAAGCACATGATTTACATTATAGCATCAAGAAATTAGACTTCCCAGAAAACATCTGCCAGTTTTAGAGATGGAAACATAGCACTACATTTGAGAGGTGTAATTCCTCTGCCCCCCACCTGTTAGATTATGGCTATGTTTGCAGACCCGTTTACTGTGCATGATGTGCTCTCCCAAGGATGCAGAGGTTTAGTCACCAACACAAAGCATCAGCTACAGTCCATCTCTATCCTGTTTTTCCTTATTAAATACTGTATTTTGATGTACTCCTCCACCAAACAGCTTCAATCTGCATTTAGAAAAAGAATGACCTTGCTGTATTTTAAGCCAGTAGTGTGTACACAGGATGTAATACACACTTCTCTGTGTAGTCAATACCAGTAACAGGAAAATGCTTGTATACTTCCCATATACCTGCATATCATATATTTAAAACACATTTTAAGCACATACACACACCAAGAATCTTGGGAACTGTAAAGGTAAAGGACCCCTGACCCCTGATCCAGTTGTGGCCGACTCTGGGGTTGTGGCGCTCATCTCGCTTTATTGGCCGAGGGAACCGGTGTACAGCTTCCGGGTCATGTGGCCAGCAGGACTAAGCCGCTTCTGGCAAACCAGAGCAGCGCACGGAAATGCCATTTACCTTCCCGCCGGAGCGGTACCTATTTATCTACTTGCACTTTGACATGCTTTCGAACTGCTAGGTTGGCAGGAGCTGGGACCGAGCAACGGGAGCTCACCCTGTCATGGGGATTCGAATCGCCGACCTTCTGATCGGCAAGTCCTAGGCTCTGTGGTTTAACCCACAGCGCCACCCGCGCCCCCTTGGGAACTGTAGTTTACCTCTAAAAAAACCTACAATTCCAAGCACCCTGAAACTTAAATGTGCGCACACTGCCATTTTCATCCTGCCCATTCCCCAAGGACAGGGGTCAGCAACCTTTTTCAGCCGTGGGCCGGTCCACCGTCCCTCAGACCTTGTGGTGGGCCAGACTATATTTTGGAAAAATAAATAAATTAACAAATTCCTATGCCCCACAATAACCCAGAGATGCATTTAAAATAAAAGCACACATTCTACTCCAGGCCCCACAAATAACCCAGAGATGATTCCTGGCCCTCCGTGGGCCGGATTTAGAAGGCAATTGGGGCGCATCTGGCCCCCGGGCCTTAGGTTGCCCACCCCTGCTCAAGGGGTTAAGGGCAGCATTTATATGTCCTCCTGTGCCCATTTTATCCACCTCACAACAATACTATGAAGTGCTGGAAGTTGCCCAGAGTGGCTGAAAATCTGCTACCCCCCCTGCACTCTTAATTTGCCAGAGTGCCCCTGGGCAAATTAAGGGGGCAGAGGACAGGGGTCTACTTTTCAGCCCTCTACTTTCCAGCATTCCCAGCCACCCTGCAAGTGAAGCGGCGAAAGTGGCGCAAGAGCTGAGGGCCAGGCAAAATCCTCGGGTCTCAGGGAGGCAAACTAGGTCTACGGAAGGAACAGCCGACAGGTCCAGAACATGAACTCACATCGCCTCAGCCGCTCCGCAACCAATCATTATGCTGAGCTGCCCGTGACGTCGATATTTATGCAGGATGATTGGGTGAAGTGAATGCCAATCAAGACCGAAGGGAAACCCTATTGGCTGTGGAGGTAATAGGGCGATATCGGCGAGGGCAGCAGCTGCGGAGCGGCAGGTTCATTTATTCTGCAGGCGCCTTTGTGGACGGAGGGCAGCGCTGGTAAGTAAGGGCTCGGAAGTGCATTTATTGCTGTTGGTGGAGAAGGCGTTGCAGCGGTGCAATGCATTCTCATCTCTCTTCCTAACCTCGGGTTGTGGGTGGTGGTGGGGAAAACACTCTGTGCATGCCCAGGGGCAATGCGAGTTCGTCTCTGATGAATGTGAATCGGGAGAACTGTATTATTTTTTGGCGATCACTCTTAGCAGAGTAAGATTGTCTTCCATGAACACGGTTTTAACAATGAGTCCATAAGTGACTGTGGAGGCCAATTCTGGATCCACACGTCCTTTCCCAGTAGGGACATTGGTTTCCGGGCAGGGTGAGTGGAGACATAGGTTTCTGGGAGGGTGTTGATCACAATGAGGGTTTGCCAAGCGTGCCTTCCTCTTAGCACATTTCTCCCTTGCGCACCTGAGTTTGAGTATCTTCAAAGCCCATGACGCCTTTGGTAAAGGCTGTTCTCCAACTGGAGCGCTTGCAGGCAAGATTCCCAGTTGTCGGTGTTTATGCTACATTTTTTTAGATTTGCCTTGAAAAAGTTTTTGAACTTCTTTTGTTGACCACCGGCATTACGCTTTCCATTTTTAAGTTTGGAATAGAGTAGTTGCTTTGGAAGATGATAATCAGGCATCTGAACAACATGACCAGTCCAACGAAGTTGATGTTGAAGAATCATGGCGACACTGGTGACCTTTGCTTCTTCCAGTACACTGGCATTCGTTCACCTGTCTTCCCAAGTGATATGTAAAAAATTTCTGGAGATACCATTGATGGAATCTTTTGAGGAGTTGGAGATGGCGATTATATGTGGTCCATGTTTCACAAGCATACAGTAAGGTTGGTAGTATCTGTACAATAGCTTTGTAAACAAGCATTTTGGTTTCCCTGCGAATGACCTGGCCCTCAAACACTCTGCACTTCAATTGGGAGAAAGCTGCACTCGCGAAGCTCAGGCAATGCTGGATTTTGACATCAGTGTCGGCCCTTGTGTAAAGCTAACTGCCCAGGTATGAGAAGTAATCGGCGTTTTGCCACATTACTCCATTGAGTTGGATTTGTGGCACTGCAGAGGGGTTCTTTTGTGCTTGTTGGTGCAGCACTTTGGTTTTTTGGATGTTGAGCAATAAGCCAAGCTTTTAGTAAGCTTTTGCGAGGATATTTAAGATGGTTTGGAGGTCATCCTCTGAGTGTGTGCACACTACGTTGTCATTTTGGACTCACAGCTGTGCATGGAGGCACAGGTCAATTCTGTGTCCAGGGCAGCTGTCTACCAGCTCCATCTGGTATGCAGGCTGAGACCCTACCTCACCTGCCCTCACCAGAGTGGTGCATGCTCTAGTTATCTCCCGCTTGGACAACTGCCATGCGCTCTATGTGAGGCTACCTTTGAAGGTGACCCGGAAACTACAACTAATCCAGAATGCCGCAGCTAGATTGGTGACTGGGAGTGGCCACCAAGGCCATATAACACTGGTCCTGAAAGACCTACATTGGCTCCCAGTACGTTTCTGAGCACAATTCAAAGTGTTGGTGCCGACCTTTAGAGCCCAAAATTGCCTCAGAGAAGGAGCATCTCCACCCCCATTGTTCAGCCCAGACACTGAGGTCCTCCTCCGAGGGTCTTCTGCTGGTTCCTCCACTGTGAGAAGCGAAGTTACAGGGAACCAGGCAAAGGGCCTTCTCGGTAGTGATGCCTGCCCTCCCATCAGATGTCAAGGAAATAAACAACTATCTGACTTTTGGAAGACATCTGAAGGCAGCCCTGCTTAGGGAAGTTTTTAATGTTTGATGTTTTATCATGTTTTTAATATTCTGTTGGGAGCCTCCCAGAGTGGTTGGGGAAACCCAGCCAGATGGGCGGGGTATAAATAATAAATAATAAAGTGTATAAATAATAAAGTGTAGTATCATGGCAGTGAAAATAATGAATAGAATTCGGGCAATAACACAACCCTGTTGAACACCTGATCTCACTGTGAATCACACTGATCTCACTGTGAACACCTGATCTCACTTTGAGAACCATTGTTATCTGTGATTGTTGCTGTCCTATTATCATGGAGGAGCCAAATGATGTTCACAAATTTATCTGAACAGCCAATTTTCAGAAGGACAGTCCACAGGGCATTACAATTTACAGTGTCGAAGGCCTTAGTCAGGTCAATAAATGCCATATATAGGGGTTGATTTTGCTCTCTGCATTTTTCTTGAAGCTGCCAAGCAGTGAAAATCATGTCCACTTCCCCTAGAAGGTCTAAAACCATTTTGGGATTCAGGAAGGTTCGCTTCAGCTATTGTTAAGAGACACTTTGCTAATATCTTTACAATAATTTTGCTGGCCGCAGCTAATAAATGCCTTGATAGTTTCCGCAAACCTTTCTGTCACCTTTTTGAAAGAGATTGATAATTTTGGCATCCCTAAAATCCACTGGAGTCTCCTCATATAAATGCTATCTCTAACTCCTGGAAATATTCCATCAATGGTGTCTCTGGGGGGGAAATTACATATCACTTGGGAAGACAGGCAAACTAATGTCAGTGTACTGGAAGAAGCAAAGGTCATCAGTGTTGCAATGATTTTTCAATATAAACTTCATTGGACTGGTCATGTTGTTTGGATGCCTGATTATCGTCTTCCAAAGCAACTACTCTATTCCGAACTTAAAAAAGGAAAGCGTAATGCTGGTGGTCAACAAAAGAGGTTTAAATATGCTCTCAAGGCAAATCTAAAAAATGTAGTATAAACACCAACAACTGCGAATCACTGGCCTGTGAGTGTTCCAGTTGGAGACATTCTTTACCAAAGGTGTCATGGACTTTGAAAAAGCTCAAACTCAGGGAGAAAAGGATAAATAAGCGAAGAGAAAGGTATGTTTTGGAAGATCTTCACTGTGATCAACTTCCGCCCAGAAACCTATGTACCCACTGTGGAAGGATGCACGGATCCAGAGTTGGCCTCCACAGTCACTTATGGACACACTGTTAAGACCATATTCATGGAAGACAATCTAACTTGACTACAAGTGATTGCCAAAGAAGAAAGAAGTACCTGCTGCACAGCAGGCACAGTGTGGTTTGGGGAAAACAGTCTCACGGGCCCAATTGGGGCCTCTGGTGGGCCCAGTTTGACCAGAGGTTCCCCATCCATGCTCTACATAGTTTTATATGGAAGGTGTAAAAATATTGTGATGACCAGGCTGCTGCGTGTTAGGAAGGCAGCATAGAGAAATCTTCATCTGCTTCCTCTAAGTGATCTACTACTTCTGGAGTCACCTTATCTAATGGAGGTTTGGAAACAAAAGATTCTTAAAGGAAATATATTATGGATTACTAAACAATGGGGACCTATATGTAAATCTGTTGGCTAGATAACACATTGATTTATTTGTATATGTAGTCTTTTCATCCCTTTTGATATGGGCTACAGTTCTAGTTTTCTGGACACCCCATGACCTCAAATTACATTGTTCTGTGTACTTCTATGTAATAGTTCAAACATTTCCCATAGTTGTGACAATGGTAACTCATTAGCCCAGAATCCGTATTCATTTCACATGTGCTTTCTAGTGAATTAACACTCTTCTCATTACCAACTCTGTTTCTTTATTGCAGAGCGAAAGAGCATTCACCGGTTTCAGCAACTTGGTTTAGTTCTTGAGCGCCATGGGGTTAGAAGCGAAGCACCTTGCTGTTCCCCACCCTTACTGGCCTCGAAACTTGGAGCTCCAGCACTACATCCCCAATGACCGCCCCATGTGGCAGATCTTGACTTTCCTCTTCTCTGTCTCTGGGCTCCTGCTGATAGTAACTTGGCTCATAGCAAGATGGCAGAACAGGACAGCTGCACCCTTTGGAACCTGGCGCTCCTTGGCGATCTGCTGGTTTGCTGTCTGTGGCTTTATTCATGGTGTCATTGAAGGCTGGTTCAGCCTGTACCACAAGGAAATCGCAGGGGACCAGTCTTTTCTTTCACAGCTCTGTAAGACTGACTTGATGGGGGGCGGGGGATGAAGGGCATGTATGCAAAACACCAGAGTTCTTCTCCCAGTTCTGGGGAAAGTATGTCGTAGCACTTAAATAAGGGGAGCATTATATAGACTCTATCATTAACATTTTATTTTATTTATTCAGTATCTATCCCACCCTTTCTCCCAAAACCAGCAAATAGAACAAAGTAGCATTATTATTATTTTTTGCAGAGATGTCATATGCTTAAATTGGCTTTGTTTCCACTTGGAAATTGGTGCTGAATTCGAAAGTCTGAACAGTTCTCTTTACCTAATTGCTAGTTAGTGAAATACACAAGCTTTTCAAGTCATGTGAAATTTTGTGCTTCTCAGCTTATTATAACCAATGTTGTGCCTTATTTTCTCTCCTCACTATGCTATAGGGAAGGAATACGCCAAAGGTGACAGCAGATACGTCATGTGAGTGTCTGCTTTGAGGCGGTGGGATAGCTGTTTGTCTATATCGTAATGGAGGAAAAGGATTCAGTCGTGCAAAGATCCAGCGCTGAATCATTAGAAACAGAAAGATTGGTGTGGGGGAGCACTAACAGCTTTAAAAGGCTATAGATGCATATTTTAAGCTATATCTTATAACATGGCAGCCCATAAGGAGGTAAAGTGGGACAGCCTTGCATGGGATTACCCTGAGTCATTTCTCTTGCGTTTCCTCAGCAGAGCTTGCATTTTGGGGCGAATAATACTTTACCTGAGAAGCCACTGTTGTTGGCATTAGATGGTTAACATTTTGCTTACCGCCTGCAGGGTGAAGGCTAGTTGTTAGTTAGCAACTATTGAGTGTGTGCTAAAGGCTTCTGGGGTAGTCACGTTAATCCGTAGCAGCAAAAAACAAGAAAATTTGCCTCCTTGTGCCTTAAAGAAGAAGACATTTGTAGGCTTGGAGAAACTTGGGGCTGGGGTATCAAATGCAGCCCTCGAGGCCTCTCTTCCTGGTTCTCAGGACTCTTCCCCAGGCAACCCCTCTGCTCCCCAAAACACACCCCTTGAGTTATTCTGCCTGGCTGGAATGTGTCCCTGGACTCTTGCGTGCCTTGATGAAGGGGAATCTCTGACTTCTGTGCAGTTGCAATGCAGCCTGCTGTACAAAGTCACATCCAGAAAAGCTCTGCTTGCTTTTCTTTCTGGCCCCACCCACCAGTGGAATGCGGCCCCCAGAAAGCTTTTTACAGGGTAATGCAACCCTTGGGCCGAAAAAGCTCCCCCCCCAGCATAAGCATTTGTGGACTCAAGTCTGTTTCTTAATAATGCTTCAATGCATCTGATATTGGAGCTGGGGAGGTGGAAATGTGAAGAGACAGACCAGAGAGAAATGCAGTGCAAAAAACAGTTTGGATGGTTGTCGACCCTCAAGTGATTTCAATTTCACTTTTGTCCCTACAGATCAGACAATTTCACAGTTTGTGTGGAGACCATCACAGCCTTCGCCTGGGGCCCCCTCTCCATCTGGACTGTGTTAGCATTTCTTTCAGACCAGCCCCATCGGTTTGTGCTGCAGCTGATTGTGTCGCTGGGTAGGTATATGAGGCAAACACAAGGACAGATCTCTAAATATAATGACGGCCGAGCTCAACTGCATCCCAATCCCCTGTGCCTTTTCACCACATGTTCTGTACTGGTAGAATGCCTGAAAAGGTTGCTGCATGCTCCTTGTGTTCCTGGCATCCAAAACCCCTCACCCTTGTCTTCTCCCTCTCCCCACCCCAAACAAGTAAAAAAAATCCCAGTTATCTCTCACACACTCAATTGCAACCACTGGAAAACTAGGAAACTCATGGAACTAGGAAATTCGGGCTGTGTATCTTTTTTTGTCTGGTTCTAATCCAGACGTATCAGGGACGCGGGTGGCGCTGTGGGTAAAACCTCAGTGCCTAGGACTTGCCGATCGCATGGTCAGCGGTTCGAATCCCCGCGGCGGGGTGCGCTCCCGTCATTCGGTCCCAGCGCCTGCCAACCTAGCAGTTCGAAAGCACCCCCGGGTGCAAGTAGATAAATAGGGACCGCTTACTAGCGGGAAGGTAAACGGCGTTTCCGTGTGCTGCGCTGGCTCGCCAGATGCAGCTTGTCACGCTGGCCACATGACCCGGAAGTGTCTGCGGACAGTGCTGGCTCCCGGTCTATAGAGTGAGATGAGCGCACAACCCTACAGTCTGGCAAGACTGGCCCGTACCGGCAGGGGTACCTTTACCTTTACCTTAATCCAGACGTGGGGAACCTTGGGCCCAGCGGCCAAATGTGGCTGTCCAGATCTCTTGCGTCTGGCCCTCAGGGTTCTCCCCCAGGCCCTGCCCACTGCTGTGCCAGACCCTCACTGGCCCTGCTCAGCTCGCTTCCTTGTGTGCTTTTGTGTCTCTGGAACTGTGGTCATGCTTTTCACTTACCTGGCTGGAGAGATGTGTGTGAAAACCTCTGAAGTGTTCATGACTTGAATGTAGCCTATGGGATAAAAGCAGGAGTTGAAGTTGTTCCTCCACTCTAGCCACACCCATTGCTGGTAAGTGGCCCCCAGATGGTTACCCATGAAGGGATGTGGCCCCTTGGGCTGAAAAGGGTTCCTTACCCCCTGCTCTAATTGGTTGTCTTGTCTCTACCATTCACTGCAGGCCAACTCTATGGAGATGTTCTGTACTTTTCTACTGAGTATCTTGAGGGGTTCAGTCACAGTGAGATAGGGCACCCGATATACTTCTGGTTTTATTTTGTCTTCATGAACGCTTTGTGGATCATCATTCCTTCCATCCTCATCCTGGATGCTTGGAAGCACCTCAGCACTTGCCAGAAGATAACGGATGCTGGCAAATTCAAGAAGCACTGACCTCTTGCATAGTGGATCATCATGAACACATATGCCATAGGAGAAGCACTGGAATAATTCAGGGATTGGTTGGCTACTTTCTGGTGCCTTGTCTAGGTTCATTTCGTCCACTGCCCCATCAACTAGGGAAATTCTCCAAGTATCCACCAATTACCCCTCCTCGGGATTAAGTGGAATGGCCTTCTGTATCTATTTTACAGCTGCTGGAATATGCTCTGTCCTGCAGCTCCTTCCAGAAGAGACTTCTATCAAAGACCCCTGGAACTGAGAGCTGGGGCAAGGCAGGGAGAATGTGTTTTTTTTTTTTTCATGCATAATTTTTATTGGTTTACAAAGATCAAAGCACAGAACAAACTGTATCAATACTCATATTGCTTCACCGCAAATAAAAAATAAGACTTCCTTCTGTCGTTCCACGAATCGTCCAAAGTAACAATAAACAATAAATCCGCGTTTCCTTGTTTGTAATGCCGTAAGTCATTCTCGTTCGTCCGTTTTCCTTTGGCATTACCCTTTTCCTCTTACAGAGCTCCTTTAAAACCCGCTAGTGTTATCTGTTCATCGATTAAGCTTTCCAGATATTTCGTAAAACTTTCCCAATTTTTAACAAACCTCTGATCTTTTATATATCTAATTTTACCTGTCATCCTGTCCATCTCCACATAGTCTAATAGTTTGGATCTCCATTCCTCCATTGTCGGTAAACTCTCTTGTTTCCAATTTTTAGCTATTAGGACCCTTGCTGCCGTTGTTGCATATTGGAACAATTTATAATCTTTCTTCTTTATCTCCGTTCCCACCAAACCTAGCAAGAACGCCTCGGGTCTTTTAACAAAGGTATATCTTAATATTTTCTTCATTTCATTATATACACTCTCCCAAAACTCTGTAACCTTTTGGCATTCCCACCACATGTGGTAGAAAGTCCCCTCCCTTTCCTTGCACTTCCAGCATTTGTTGCAGGATCCGTACATTCTAGCTAGTTTAACCGGGGTCAAGTACCAGCAATAAAACATTTTCATTAGATTCTCTTTAAGTGACACACAGGCCGTAAATTTAAGATGTTGTTTCCAGAGTTTTTCCCACTCTTCGAAATAGATGTTACGGCCGAAATCTCTAGCCCAGTGTGTCATTACCGCCTTGACCTCCTCGTCAACTAAGTTCCAGTCCAGTAGATGTTTATACATTTTAGATAATATTTTTATATTATTCCCCAAGATCTCGGTTTGGAATCTTGAATTTTTATCGGCATAGCCTTTGTCTTTGACATCTTTCCTAAACATATCATTTATCTGGTGGTAGTGCAGCCAATCATATACTTGGGATTTAACCTGGTCATACGGCCTCATTTTCCACTTTCCTTCCTCCTTCGTTAGCAGTTGTTCGTAGGTTGCCCAGTTGGCTCTCATATTGGTCTTTTTAATAGCCATAACCTCTAGTGGAGATAACCATTGGGGTGTTCTGGGTTCTAGCATGTCCTTATACCTTTCCCATACCTCCATCAGAGGGCCCCTAAATATATGGTTCCCAAATCCCTTGTGTCCTTTCTTCCGCCCATGCCACAAATAGGCGTGCCACCCGAATCGGTTATCGTGACCCTCTAAGTCTAACACTTCCCTATCTTCCAATTTTATCCATGTTTTAACCCAGCATAAGCATGATGCCTCATAGTATAGTTTCAAATCAGGTAGGGCGAAGCCTCCCCTTTCTTTCGTATCCGTCAATAATTTGAACTTTACTCTCGGCTTCCTCCCCTGCCAGATGAATCTGGAGATCTCTCTATGCCAGGCTTTAAATATCTTTGTACCTTTGATAATCGGAATATTTTGGAAAAGAAATAAGATTCTTGGGAGTACCGACATTTTAATTGTGGCTATTCTACCCCAGAATGACAGTCTGAGCCGGCCCCACGTTTCTATGTCCTTCTTGACTCCTTTCCATACCGTTTCGTAGTTGTTTTTGAATAAATCTATGTTTTTTGGCGTTACCCATATCCCTAAGTATTTGACCTTCTTTGTTACGTCTATTTCTATTTCTCTTTGTAATTCCTCAATTTTGTCTGGCAAGACAGGGAGAATGTGTTGAGGGGAAGCCCTATTGAATTTGGTAGGTTTTACTTCTGAGCAAATGGGTTGCAGGTCCCATTATGGATAGCCTCCATCATGCAATTCTGTATTAGACTAAGCAGAGCAGTGCTATGAAGACTTCATATAGGGCTCTGCGTGACTGCTAGACCTGGGGTTAGGGTTATATCTCAAGCTAAATGAGGCTGCAGAGTAGAAGCATCCAGTTTTTTTAATTTCTGTTTGGGATGCTTGTGTATCTAGTTGTGAAGGTAGGACAAAATCCACCGTTAATAATATTACGCTGATTTCACATCTAGATCTCTTCTTAAGAGGGGACCTTTCTCCTGCTTTTGAAACAGGTTTATTTTCTGTAAACTATGCTCCTAAGCATTTCAGTACATTTTCAAAGGAAAACCTTTAGTACCTCACATATGCTGCTGAACTCACTGGTTTTGTAAAATGAGATACAATTGTTTTTTAAATAAATGATGATCCACCTGTTTCCTTGTCTGTTGAAACTGTGTGCATGGCAGGTGGGGAAGTATGTAAGGAGGCCAAGAAGAAGCTCTGCTTGGTGGAAATCTTCATGCAAAATTCTATACGATGTGCTTCTACTTATGTTTAATAGTTGCCTTAAATCAGTAGTGGCGAACTTATGCCACGCGTGCCAGAGAAGGCACTCACATCCTTCTCTGTGGCCATGCACACCGTCGCCCCAGCATCCATGCTAGGTGCGCGAGCGCCCAAAGCCTGCAGCCCTGGTACCGTAGCTTCCATGCTGGGGGTAGGGAAGGAGTGAGGAGGAGAGGAGGGCTGGGTTAGGATTAGAATTGGGATGCTGGTGGCACTGTGGTCTAAACTACAGAGCCTAGGGCTTGCCGATCGGAAGGTCGGCAGTTTGAATCCCCACAACGGGGTGAGCTCCCTTTGTTCGGTCCCAGCTCCTGCCCGCCTAGCAGTTCAAAAACACATCAAGTACAAGTAGATAAATAGGTACCGCTCTGGAGGGAAGGTAAATGGCGTTTCCATTGTTACGGAAAAATCTGGGTGCAGGGCTATTCTGTCACCCAGCTCGTCGGACTAAGTAAGTCCGCGGGTCCCTGCGGAAGAAAATGAGCTCAGCCGGACAGGAGCAAACTGCAGGAGATCCAAGTTTATTGCGCAACAGGTTCAAGACAAGATTGAACCCCGAGAATGGGGCGACATAAACTTTTAAAAGTTCCCTCCAAGTCCCAGAATACAGTGTCATGAATACATTATGGGAAGGTTGGGTTTCATGGATTACATCATGAATATATTACACACGTCATGAATATCTCAGAGAAAGGTGGGGTTACACTAATTAACATTTGAGATAAGGGAGGGGGAAATATGTAGAGCGAGAGATACACATAGATAAACATTTATCAAGTACCGGTGGTGGCAAGACAAAGGGCCAGAGATATGCATCGTCTGCCACCTGGTATTGCCCGGAGGAAGGGTTAGGCGAAACGATCTGACAGGATTAGGAAGTTCCTGTGTACGTGCCCTGCCGCTTCAGGGATCATGGAAGTCGGGGTGGCATCATGGAGTCCAAAGGGAGCTGAGTTGAATGACACCAAGAGCTAGGAAATCGGAGTTATGGTTGATTTTATATCAATTTCCAAAGGTTTTCTATGCTTTCTGACCTATTCCGTATTGGTGATCAAAGCGGAAACAAAATGGACACATTGTATCCAGAATTTGACAGTTTTACGAGGTCCGGGGTTTCGGTTCCATTGTTCTCGCCGTGGGGGGCCGTCAGTAGCTTGTCGGGAGGTTAAATGAGGCGTGCAAGAGCTCCCTGAGCTAGCTCCTGCAGGACGAATGCACGGCTGTGATTGGCTAAAGCGTGGCTCGTTTTATGAATGGGGGATACAATATGATACGGTCGACTCACGTTAGGAATAGGGCGAGAGAAAGGCATAGGAAAGATGGGGCTTATTCCGCCCGCGTGAAGACAGGAAAGAGAGCCTTTTATTTACAAGGCAGGGGTACAGTGTGGTGCCTATGCAATGGTGCGGGGGCTGAGGGTTTGAGGCCGGCTGGGCACTGCAGGGGCCATCGCCTCGGACCCCTTCAGGGAGCGGTGGGGAAGGATGGGTACCCCCCCCCCGTTCCTTCCGTATCACCATGCACTGCTCTGGTTAGCCAGAAGCGGCTTAGTCATGCTGGCCACATGACCCGGAATTTGTCTGCGGACAAACGCCGGCTCCCTCAGCCTATAGAGCAAGATGAGCATTAAACCCCAGAGTCGTCCGCGACTGGACCTAACGGTCAGGGGTACCTTTACTTTTACCTTTACCTTAAAGGATTAGAATTAGGGGTCAGGGTCAGTGATGTTTTATGTTTTCTTGTGATTTTGATTGATTTGCGGTTGGTTTGCTTTTTTCAATTAGTTGTGTTGCTGCTTTTTCACGGCTTGCAAGTTTGTTGGCTTTGTGGTTTTCTGGAAAGTTTCAGTTTTTATTTTGAATGCAGCCCTGCAGTCCCAGCGCTAAGTGAGGGAAAGCTTGGCCGGGGCTCCACTTCTGAGAGATCCCCGCCTCCACTCCTGCTTGTAAGCAAGCAGGAGTAGGATTGGGCTGCTCCGCTAGGCAGCGTTGCTGCTTGCACGGGAACAGGAGCTGGATCGGGGCTGCTCAGCTGGGGAGGTGCAGGCTCCTTCACACTTTCTGTTGAGGGGTTTGCGGCTGCACTCCCCTCAAGGAAGAAGTTTAAAGGAGCCCCCACCTTCACATCAGATCCCCTCCAACCCCGTGAAGGCAGCCAGGCTGAATAGTTGCTGGGGTTGGGGAAGGTGGAAGCAGCCCAGAAGCTGCATCTCAGAGCCCCTGCACCACCCAAAGGCAGCCAGGCGCTCCTCAGCTTCTGAAAAAAGTTCCAAAACTGGAGCACTCATTTCCAGGTTTGAAGTGTTCAGTTCCAAGTAGTTTGAGAACAAAGCTGTTCGAAAACTGAGGTACCATTGTATTTATTTCCCCCAATTTGAACTGTGTTTATTTTTCCCCCGGTGGTGATTTTCTTGAGTCAAAATGAGAGTACCCCTAAACATTTTTTGGGGGGGGGGAAAGCACTGAGCTATACCATAAAATTATATATCAATGCAAAAACCTTTATGAAGGATTATTTATTACAACAGCAGTCATAAAGAAGAAACGTGAAACACAGAGAAAATGAGATATACAGGTTTAATTGCCGTGTTGGCACTTTACAATAAATAAGTGGGTTTTGGGTTGCAGTTTGGGCACTTGGTCTCTACCAGCCCTGAAAGCAAACTACAAAACTAAATACTTGTTTCTGCACTAGTAATTTCTTCAAGCATCGCCCACCTTACAGTGCATGGGAGTAATCCCACTCTGAGGTTTATCAGAGCGTGGATAACGGGGGCAAGACTATCCTGGTTCAGGAACAGCAATGGCTGGCGAGAAGTGCTCTTAGGTCTTTTTACACAAGCACAAACCCAGGTTTCAGCATGTGTGCCTTCAAGAGGGAGCTGCAAGTATAACTAATGACAAATGTCAAACAGAAATTCAACAGGTGAAGCTTTCACTAGAATGCCAAGGTGGCAACAGAGGTGGGGAAGTTTTGCTTGCTGTTTAAAAGTAGGAGCCCTGCCAGAAAGAAAGAAAAAAGGCAAATCTTCCTATATAAATAGGACTTCAAGGCCACACCATCCGTTTTGGCTCCTCTGTCGCTTGACCCCCCTCCTCTTCCTCACTGCCAGCTATTAGCTGCTTTCTCCCTGGTGGCAAGAGAGACAGAGAGATGCAGCAATGGGGATGGGGAACCTGTGTCTCTCCCAGTGCTGCAAGGACTACAACTCCCACTAGCCCTAACCCTCGGCCATGCACTGTATACCGTAATTGATTAATCAATATGGTGAGCCGGCTCAAAAATATTTAATCAGTTAACACATACAGACTAAAATGTAAAGCACACTGGATAGTTTATTAGAGGACCAGATTCTATGTACTTTGTCTTATATCAAGGCAGTCCCAGGCTTGCCTGCTTCTCAGCACCCATCTATCAATATCCAAGAGTATCCAAGAGTAGAGAGTTCCCCGCTGGCTCCAGAACACAAAGCAGCATCTTGGCTCTAAGGATGGCATGTTCAGCGCCTCCTCTGACATCAGTAGCCCATGGGCAAGTCCAGAGTCCAGCCAAGACTATGGGGAAGCTTCCTGTTGCAACCATCTATCAAGCCACAGGAGGCCCAAACAGGTCCATAGTTTCCACCACCAAGGAGAGATGCTTCAGGAAGGAGCTAATGGACACACACAGAATCCGGGCTTCATCTGCTCTCCATCGACTGCAAAAAAATTATATATATATATACTTTGTGTAGACCGAAACTTGTAGTCAACACTTGCACTACACTTAACAGTCCAATATCCTCATTCTATTCCAGTCCCTCATTCTATTCCAATCTATTCTTATCATGGCAGCACCTGAATGCAAAGGACTCAACAGAGAGGAAGGGAGGAATTATTATTCTCTATATAGTATCATCAGCTTGTATAGCACTTTACAGAAAATACGAGGGGATAGATCTCTGCCCTGACAGGCTTACAGCTAGAATTTGGCACAACAGAGGAAGGAGAGGGACGTGGGGGCAGCGAAGGAGGCGATGATTTGACTGACAAGTGCTGAGCTTTAGTTAGAGGCCTGGCTGCTGTGGTGTCCCTGCTCCAAGGGCTTCATGGGAAGGTGAGCGGGAAGGCTTGAAAGAAATAAGCGAGGAGGGTTCTGAGAGGGGGTACCAGGCATATGGGGCACCAGGGAGGAAAAGGCAGAGATGTTTCGGGGAACAGAAGACGTCCAGAGGTTGAGGAGGTACAAATAATAAAATTATTGTTGTTGTTTAAACCCTGGTTCAAGTCCAACATGCCATCCAGTACGGCGCCACCTTGTCTCTCATCCTCCTGCAGCTTGTGCAGGAGACGGCAGGCTGCACAGGGGACTCAGAGCCCACCATCTGCCCCGACTGTCGCCACACCTTGCCTCTTGTAGAAGGGGCGCCTGGCAAGATGCAAGATGTCCTCCGTCACATCCAGTTCCTTGCTGATCCCTTCTTTGCGGGGCTCAGGGCCAGGAGCCAGGGAGCCCAGCACAATCTGGGCCAATGATGATGATGGGAAAGGGATCCTCAGCTCACAGATGTCGGGGGTAGCAATAAGGAGCATAAAACGTACAAGAAAATTACACACACAAACACGAGCACACTGCCTACCTTTCCAACAAGAGACACACTCTCTATTCAAGGTCACCATTGTATTCTGTGCTTAATATTTCTGGGAGAGCTTCTAGACCCTGGTTTTCGACTGTGGAACTCTGACACAATTAGAATCCCTGCTTATCCATGACTGTAGATGGAGAAAACTCAAGACCAATGTTCAAATTGCGGGGGGGGGGGGGGGGCAGAGGGGGCCATTTTTGTGCCGACCTCTTTCGTTTACTTTTTTAAGAGGGGGAAGCAGGGGGAAATGTGTTATAGCTAGAACAGGAGGGGGCCCAGGGCACGTGGATTTCATTCAAGGCCTTCCTACCTCTTTCCCTTCACCCCACTCAGTCACCATTCTGTTGTATTTGCAGTTGTTAGTGGTCAAAAAGCATTAAAGGAAAACTTATCCCCATTTCTCTCCTCACAAAGAATCCTGAGCACTGTCGCTAACCCCTCACAAAGCTACAAAGTGCCCATAATACTTTGCGGGTGAAACTCTAGCAACCCACCACCTTGATTTCCCAGCAGCTCTGGAAATGCATCTTGCTTCATTTAGTTCTTAAGGGGGAGGGAGAGAGAGAGAGAGAGAGAGAGAGAGAGAGAGAGAAAGAGGTTGCATTGGAAGTAAGCAGGGACACCGCAGGGGCTTGAACCCCGTCCTGGAAACCAGGAGCGCCAACCACCAGCGTCTTTTGCTTTTTTTTGGCCAATGCAACAAGGTGAAAAGCAAAACCTGAGAGAACACTCTCAATACAGAATGTTCTCTCAGGAAAAAAGAAAACCCTTAAGAATTATGAAGTTGCAGACAGAACACAATCGAGGTTTTATCCCTTGCCATTAGCAAAGGGTATTCACCTAGATGTGTTTACGTCACAAAGTGCCATGTTGACTGCCATTCATTTGCAGGGCAGGGCAGAGAGACTGGTTCCAGTCTCCAAACTCTGCCTTTATGCTCACCTTTTTGTTTGTCCCTCCGAAGTGTGAATTCATGGGCCTGGAAGTTCCTTCTGCTGGTCTATGAAAAGCAATCTGGACTCCTTACTTTGTCCCCGGCCCTTTCCCGCCAATTCCAGAGAAATGTTTTCGGAACACAGCTCTTCTTACTGACCTGACTTCTGCAGGAAGAGCTGGCTTCACCTGAGTGTGGTGGGCTCTTGGACAGAACTGTGAAGAGATCAAGCGGGGGGAAATGGAGAAGCCAGCCCAAAAGGATTGTACTGAAAAAGATCACTGAATTGTGGAGTGTGAAGTTCACTTGCCGTTAAGTTTCCTGAAGGCTTGCAAAATTCTATTTCTTGTGTGACTGAGATGCACCTGGAAGAGACTAGGGTCTTCAGCAGCCCTCCCCTCCAGACACAGGAGCAGAAATAGCCGGTTACCTAAAGCAGCACAGTCAAGACGCAGGTGTCTCTCAATCCTACACTGCAGATGTTCACTTGATGGATCAAAAGCTCTGACACTGCCTTTTGTCAATGGAGCAGATCTGCTTCTGGCACAGGTAGCTCTGGGAGGTCTGTAAAAAAAAGACCTGGAACAAAACAAGGCTGGCTGTCCCACCAATAGATGTACCTTATTGTGTGGTGATGGCACAGGAAAGGGCCTCCCCTGCAGTGGTGTCCCGACAAGAGAAGTCCCTCCAGGTAGAAGCACGGAGATCGACCGCATTAGGCTTTTGAGTTCACAGCTCTTCTGAAAAACTGATTGAATAACCAACATTGCTCAATACAAGCTCTTTGGAATATTTAGTTTGCATATTTGATGTATGAATCCATTTAGAGCCTACCTTTTCTCCAACAGGCTCAGGGTGCTTGCATGGTCCCCCTCACTGCGACCTGAAAGAATCTTTGTACAAAGTGTTGAAGGCAGAACACAACAGGGGTTTTCTCCTCAGCCAAGCACAAGATACTCACCTTCAGCCAGAAGACACACAACTTTATTGCTGCTATGATTCCGATAGAGCATTTAGAGATTAATTGTTAGTTATTAGTGCCTATCGCCACCTCTAGTAATTCAAAAGTTTCTTTACTAGAAGGTACGGTTGCAGTTGTAGGTAACCAAGTGAGAGCTTACAGGCAAAGGAAGCAGTCTGCCACACCAGGTTTTTAAATAAATTACCTTAGGAACAGAAGTACTGGTGAGGACCCAAATTTTAGTATTTGTCAGAAACCCAGCAACTATCAACCCTCTCATGCAGGTTTTGACAAAAAAGCCAGTCATAGAATTTGGGTCAAATTAAATTTCTAACCAAGTCTCAGCATTTATGGATCATCTTTCCTGCATTCAAGAGAAATACCGGTACCCCAGGCAAAGAAAATGGGGAGCTACATGCCTCCTTTATCTACAGGATTGAAGGGTACAGACCTCTCTTCTAATATGGTTCAAAAATGTGGGTTCTTATTATGATTTTGTGTGGCCACACTCTGGTCATTAGTGGAACAATCAGTCACCCCCTTATCTACGAGTCAAAATGGCCAGAGAGTCAGGATTCATAAGATTTCAAATATTTTCTCAGTCATTTCAGCCTTACCATTAGCAGACAAAATCTTCTGCCCTTTATGTACAGGGAAAAATGGTCAAGGCTCACCCTTCCTAATCAATAATATATATGTGCTTAAACATTTGCTAGACTTTTTTTGCTTAGAAATGGCCGACCAAATGGTGAAAACCTCTACTCATTCCAACGCCTCTACCAGGCCGCCTCTACCATTGCCACAAGTAGATTCACCCTCAAAATGCTGTACTTGCTTTTTCACACAGAAATCAGCAATGCAACTGTTAGAGACAAAGGAAGCTGTTGATGCATCAGGTCTTAAAATGAGTATTCTAAATGGGTATACTACCTTAGGAACAGAAGTACTGGCAAGGATCCAAATATTAGTATTTGTCGGAAACCCATCAACTATCAACCCTATCATGCTCCAACGCCTCTACCAGGACGCCTCTACCATTGCCACAAGTAGATTCACCCTCAAAATGCCGTATTTGCTTTTTCACACTTAAAACAGCCAGGCTACTGTTACAGACAAAGGAAGCTACTTGATGCATCAGGTCTTAAAATGAGTATTCTAAATGGGTATTCTACATTAGGAACAGTAGTATGGATTTATGGATTTATACACATCTGACGGAACAAAAACTGAACAATATTTTGGTGACCGTCTTTTGCAGTTGCCCAGTAACTACAATTAAGTATAATACTCTCAATCTTGGTTGCTTGCTTTTCACTGCTTCGCCTCATAGCTGTCAACAACGTTTCCCTTTTTTAAAGGGAAATTCCCTTATTCCGAATAGGATTCCTTTCAAGAAAAGGGAAAAGTTGACAGCTATGCTTCTCCTTGTGGCTTTCTCAGTTATTTCCCCCCTTTTTTCTCCTCCCAGAAACAATTCTTGATCCTAGTGGCTTCCATACCTTTCCTTGATCAATAGTTATTTCGCTTTCATTATTTTTTAAATTCACCACTCTGAAGTGGCTCCCTGTATGCTTTTCTCTTGCCTTGATTCCAATCAGGAAGGGTGGGGTATTATAAAATCACAATCATAATCATGCCTCTTCCTAGCTTTGTATGTCAAATGCCACCACTTTTAAGCCAGCTGCTCAATGGAAGCCACATTATAAATAAATGAAGTTCTGCCCATTAGCGAAGGAGCTCATCTATAGTCCCCAGGAAGCTATCACAAAGGCAAGGCAATGCATTTTTGTCAAGAAGGCAAGCAGAGCTAACCTGAGGAACTATGTTGTGTTCTCCCCCTCTGCTTTGCTCTTTCTCACATGCACAGCTTTCTTTCCCTCTGGATACCCCTACCCTTCTCACTTCTAAGTCTTACCTGTGTTAAAATCTTACTAATCTTAGGTTTTTCTAACTTCTGGAGCGAGGTTCTGGAGCAAGTGGTCACAGACCAGATCCAGGTGCTCTTGGAAGAAGCTGATTTCTGGATCCATTTCCATCAGGGTTCAGGCCTGCTTTTGGCACTGAAACTGCCTTGGTCGCCCTGTACCTCTGTTGAGAGACAAGGGAAGGCGCTCAGTGACCCAGAGTGCCTTCCATCAGCTTTGGCTGGTGACCCAGCTATGCCCCTATCTGGACAGGGATACCTAACATGGATACTCATCTCAAAGGAATGGCCAGACTACCAGGAAAGGCAATCAGATAAGGCATTATCAGAGAACCTGGCAGACAGGAAAAACAACAACATTCAAATTTCTGTTGTAGACCACCTTTTCTGTGATGTAGGTATGATGTTCGTGGGGGGTGGTCTTGGGTTACACCCCTTCTGTGATGTATGTATGATGTACGGAGGGGTGGTCTGGAGCTCCAGGGCAGGGAATTGAAAATGTCTATATAAGGGCAGGCACACCTTGGTTTGGGGTCCTCCTCCGTCCTCCTGCATGTTGGGGAGCACCCTGTTGCAACAGTTCAATAAAGATCAGGCTTACTAGCTGCTTTGCTTCTCAATATTCTCCGGTTGGCCTCTGTTATTTTCTCCTACCGATGGAGAACCTACAAAGGACTCTATAAGGGCTCTTGTGTCCTCCATAAGGGAATAAGGGCAGATTTTTGTTTATTACAGCCCATCACTAGGTTATCATACTTGGCAGTTCAAAATGAATCCCAGACTGTTTGTGTGATTTTATCTACATAGATCCACAATGTAGCCAAGAAGCTTCTGTTCCACCCTAGAGATTAAATCTCTTGAGATCCTCCTCAACTTCCAGGTGCTAATATGAAGGTTTAACAAAATTTATTAAGACTCCTTCAGATGGGAAATAGGGGCATCTCAATTATTGCTCTGGGGTTGTTCTCTGCGGCAGGGAGAGACAGATCTGCTAGTTTGCAGCCCAAACTGGCTGTGGATGAGGGCATCTATCTATCTATCTATCTATCTATCTATCTATCTATCTAGCAGCAATATTTAAACTTGCCAACTAGGGAGACCACAAGTGAACATTTGTTGTACCTCTTTTTAAAGTTGTAAATAAGAACTTCAGCTCTGACCAGTGAGAGGGCAAAAACCAGTATTATAGCCAGGAACAGTCTCACTCACTAGACTCTGGCTCGCTCCTTCCACCACCTGTCAGTCATAGGGACACAGAAAAAAGTCCCTTGGCGCATTAATACAGTGGATAAACATGGGTTTGTTTTCAACATGGGATCACTGTGCATGGGGGAGAAATTAGTGCTGGCCCCACTCCCTAATAATAGGGTTGCTGGGGGGCAAACTTGAATAAAATATGGGGGGGGGGTAGTAAGCCCTGCCCTACATAGTCACATGACGCAGCACAGACCATTTAAATGGCAATGCCCATCAACTTGGGGGGTGCCTGGCCCCCTCAATTTTTGGGGGGGGGCCTTAAGAGGAGTTAGCTACTAAGCCAGGGTATGTGTCTTTCCTGGATCCATGTCTTTGCTTGCTTGGCTATGTGTAGCACCTGCTGTGCCTTTGAATGGCATTTTGCCCGTGTATCACACTGATCTGAGCATTAAAGCTTTTGGTAGACACTGCAGCCTGAGTTCGAATTCTTCACTGAGTGGGAGCCAGGAAACTCCTCCACAGTGTACTTTTCTGGAGGTTCTCCTGATCCTCCCATAGCCAGTTTTGGGGGGCTTGTGGGGATCTATACTCTTCCCTTTCCCTATAATAAGATGTTCTTGTTCCTCCAATAATTTCTATCCAGTTGTCATTGAAAGTGGCAGCATGAATGAACATCTCCTAAGGGATCACAGGTAGAAAATGGTCTTTCTAGCTTTTATTTTTTAAAAACAACAACACCACAAAGACTTTTCAATTCTACAATTGGAAATATTATTTAACACAATATAAAGAGGTGTTGATGTGCCAGGTACAGGGAAACATATTTGTATTAGATTAATTCCCATACGCAGATTTAAAAAAATTAATAATATTAATTCATTTTGCCTTCTTAATCTTCTGAATCAATATCCAAAAATGTTCACAGCAGTCCTGGTCAATCGTTGTATTAAGCAGTATTGCTCCAACGTCTGCCTACTTCCAGTCTTGTGGTTCTTGAAGAATTTCCGAAAAGTGTAACTAACCACTGACATAATATCTGAGAGAAATAACAAGTCTTTTTTGTTTGTGAGCTGGAAGCAGTTTGAAAGAGGATCACTTCTCATCGTGTACACTATCATAAGAATATACCATCCAAGATTTCTCTGATGAAAAGAGGGACATCCTATTCAATAATAACAACAATAATAATTTTATTATTTATATGTATACCATGTTACCTCTTAGCTGTTTAGCTACAATGGCTGGAGATTCTGTTTAACTGTAGTGGCAAATAGCTTGTAATTGATCCGTTCTCCATTGACTTAGTTACCACCCCCTCCTGGGTCAGTGAATCAAATCTTGCATTATGTGAAATATTCCCAGTGGAGGACTGCAGTATCACATTAACAAAACTGCTTGTGGCTGGCTGTTAAAAGCAGTGTTAACCATGGGTTGGCATTGCATCTGAACCAACTCCAAGATTCTATGATCACAGACCAATCCTGGTGCAATAAAGGCCCGTCCGTTATCCCAAGCGCGCTATTGTGACGCCCCCTTTCCCATTGGCTTCAATGAACAAAACGGCACGCCCCCCCCCTACGTGTTTGGCCAGCCCCGTGGCGCAAGATGCTTCCGCAACACAGAAGCCGGAGTGAGGGGCCCTACGTAGGCACCTCTCTACTTTTTTTGTATCTATGGCTCGGACGCGCGTCCCTGTTCGACCCGGATGCAGCTGCTGCATCCAATCGAACGTGGACTCCGGGTGACCCGGATGTTGTTACCCTTCACGCAAGGATATTGCCGTGCACTAGTTTCCATTTGACCCGGATGTTGCTCCTCACGGCCCCTTTCCTGATTGGTTGGTCCTCTCATTTCCCCCCCTTTTGTTCCGTTCGCGAGAGCCGCTTCCTCTTAACCCTTCCCTCGCCACCCTTGCGCATTTCAGTTCCTCGGGCGGTTAAAGCCCAGAAAGAGCGGGGAACCCGCGCAAAAAAACCCGCAGAGGCGAAGGAGTTCAGCCGCCTCCTCCTGCTTCCTCGCGGACACGCGCTTAAATAAAACACCTGAGCAAACTTCGCGCTCTGCGCCTTTAAGGCCGGGGCGGTGACGTCAGCGCCGGACGGGGCGGAAGTAGCCGGCGCGGGGAGGAGGTCACGTGATGGAAGCGGCGCCTCTCCGTCCGCCTGCCCCCCGCCTGCCTGACGCGGGAGTCCCGGCGGAGCGAGGCGGCTGACTGCGCGGGGCCCTCTTCCCCTTCCTCCCCCCCCCGCCGGGCGCGTGACGTGGAGGGGGAGGGGGCTGCAACGGCCCCGGCGCGAGGCGCCTCCTCCCCCCGCCCTCAAGACGCGCCAGAAGGTGGAGGGGCCGCCGGGATGGCGGCGGCGGGGGCGCCGGGAGGGGGCGGGGCGGGGGCGCCAGAGGAGGAGGAGCACGAGGTGGTCCGCGTGCGGGTCAAGGTGAGCGGCCTGAGGGGACTCGGGGGCGGGGGGAAGGGCGGCTGATGTCACAGGGGCCGGCGGAGGGAACCGTGTCTCGTCTTGAGGCGGGTTGTGGGACGGAGACCTGAAAGGAGCTGCCCTTTGTTTCAGGAGGGATGCGGCAGGCAGTGCCACGTAGCGGTTAGAGCAGCGTGGGAAACCTACGGCCCTCCGACGGCTGGGTTTTGGTTTACAATTAGGTTCCTCTCTTGCCCTTTCAGCCACCGGGTCCTAGGGTGGGCTGCGGAGATTGAAAGATGGAATGGCAAAAGCAGAGGGTAAGACAGAGCATAGTGAGGTTCCTAAATATATGTGTGTGCCTTCAGCGTTTCACGAAAACTGCAAAATGAAGGTGCCAGGTGCACCTCTGTGGGGAGGGAGTTGCACCACTTAGGGCTGCCCCAGAGAAAACTCTCCTGGGCCACCTACCTGCTGAACCTCTGAGGGCAGTGGAACATAGCTGTCAACTTTCAGATTTGAAAATAAGGGATCAGCAGCCTCGAAAATAAGGGATCAGCAGCCTCACCTGTCCTGGGGAGCCTCGAAAATAAGGGATCAGCAGCCTCACCTGTCCTGGGGAGCCTCGAAAATAAGGGATCAGCAGCCTCACCTGTCCTGGGGACAGTCTACGGGATATCTAACAATCCAGGATAGCAGCGCGAAACAGAGCTGGAATAAGGGAATTTCCCACAAAAAAAGGGAAGGTTGACAGCTATGCAGTGGAACTACCCAAAGACTCCCCTCTGTCGATCTTAACGCCTGGGAGGGTCTGTAAGGAAGAAAGTGGTCTTTCAGGTATGCTGCTGAACTACGACCCCCATCGCCCATGGCCATTGGCCATGCTGGACCATGGCATTGCTAAAGGGCCACACGTTTCCCACTCCTGGGCTAGAGCTGAGCAGGGGCAAATTCCTGCTCAGCCTTTGAACTTACTGTCTTGCACAAGTCATTGCTTCAATGCAGACATCACACCAAACAGTTGTTTACAGTAGCCGTACTTTGAGTTCTCGAAGGGTCAGAGCTGCTTTCTTTCAACTTGATGTACCTCTCTCATTGCTGTCAGATTGTGAGTGGCCTCCTTGGTGGATACAAATAACAAGTAGTGTGTTGACTCTTTTACACAGTTATTAGTGACAGTTTAGGAACTTAGATGTGGAGAGAGAGATTAACTTGCTCTCAGCGTGCAATGGGAATTCACACTTCTTAGTGCTTTATTACTCTAAGAAACTTTACTAAATTTAATAGTAGCTGCAGACAATCTATGAGTGTAAAATAATGTTGTAAAGGAACCGTGTTTCATTTCGTAGAAGAAGAAAGAGAATGAGTTCACAATTGTTGATTCACTATACACAACCTTTTGCAGGTTTGGAGATGATTTCTTCTTCACAAGAAGAATGCCTTCAGTTACACACTTTCCAAAATAAGGACAACTTGATAACTCTTGGGTTTCTCCCAACTCTATGATTCTATGATTCTGTCCCTAATGGTTGTACTAATCTATATTCAAGTAGGTAGCCATGTTGGTCTGCGTAGTCGAAATAAATTAAAACAGTTCTTTTAGAAGATAGTTAAAAGACTCTTCTTAAAAACCTAAAAACTCCCTTAAAAGAATCAAGTCTTCAAAAAAGTTATATGATCTAAGAAAGTCTTTAAAAGAATCCTTCCAAAAGGGTTTAAAAATTATGATGTAGCACCTTAGAGACCTACTGAGTAGTTTTAGGTATGAGCTTTCGTGTGATGCACTATTCTTCAGATACAGCTAGTCTATAACACACTGATCTATAAAACACATATTTTATACTCAGATTGTCCAGTTTGCAGTAGCTGCACCTGCTTCTATTGTCAGGTTTCTAGCACCTGTTACTTTGACAGTTATAGATATTTAGATTACATTTTGGGCAAATATTTCTCGTCTCAGATTTTTCTGTCAGAATGTAATTAGTGCAGTGGAACCTCAGTTCCCGAACACCTCCATCGTCATACCTTTTGCTTCTCAACTGCCAAAACCCCGGAAATAAATTATTCCATTTTTGAATGTTTTTCAGAACCCAAACGTGTGATGTGGCTTCCACAGAGTGCAAGAAACTCTTGCAACCAATGGGAAGCCGCGCCTCGGTTTTTGAACATTTCTGAAGCCGAATGGGCTTTCGGAACAGATTTCGTTGGAGAACCGAAGTACCACTGTATTTGGTTTTATACTAGTCAAAAGTGTTATTTTGGCAGACTGATGTAAGCATGCTTGGGGATAGGTTCAACTGAGTTCACTGGCTTGTTTCCTGGTAAAGCTTGTTTACTCACCTTGGAAGTATGTTGATTGATTCAGTGGGATTATCAAAGTAATATACTTTGCAGTTAGTTTTTAATTGGAAGCCACTGTTTTGCTAATAATAATAATAATAATAAAAATATTAATTAATTAATTATTTGTACACCACCCATCCGACATAGGTAGGACTATATCTCTGTGGCTGTAAACCTTCTGTAAATGATGTAATCTGGACCATACTCCAGACTGTGTTAAGATCTGCTCACTCCATTGTTTTTGTTAGCGTGAAGAGATGACATTGTATATGGAAGTATCCAAAAGCCATTTTGGACCCTTTTGCTTTTGTGCGATGTTGAAGGATTATTGCCAACCTTGTAGCTATGTAGATACTGCAATAGCTGAGCGATAGCTCAAATATTTTGTAAGTTTCAGCTCACGTGTTTGGCCCCCAGTATCCCTGGTTACAAAATATTGAGAAACACACCTGTGTATGAGATCTACCTTTCCCACTAGTAATCTTTCCAGTGGTAAATCTGATGTAAAAGAGCTGAATTTGCCCCTTGATAAAGTCTAGGTTGATAAGAAGCAAGTTCCACTGACGAATATACTTCAGAAGGCCTACTTTTGTGAGAGAGATTGTCAAGCACTTAGCTTGGTGTAACTCCATTGATGTAAATGGAATTGCATCAGTTCATGGTCAGTGAACTATCCCCTTTGTGTATTAATACACTAACAATAGAACCATTCGTTGTTCCTCTCTCGTTAGGGTTATCCTAGGGGAAGGATCTATTCTTTGGTCTGTAAAATATCAGGCTTATGTGTTTGATATATCTAGATAGCATTTAAAGGGCTGTTTTCACTGTGGGAAGAACGACCCCTTAGAACTTAGTATCATTGTGGTAGAAAAACAGAGTGTGTTGCTGGTGGAGACAAGCTTTTTATTTTTGTCAATAGGGAAATTAAGAGATTATAGTTGGAAGGCATTCTGAACTTGTTTTCCCTGACCTCTCGTTCACTGGATCTCTGCTGTCTCCAAGTTATAGGGTTGGTTTTTTGCTCCTGCTTACATTTTGTAATCCTTTCAGAAATGTGAAGGCTTCTTGCAACCTGAGTTCCGTACCTTTGCTGTGGATCCACAGATCACCTCCCTGGATGTATTGCAGCACATCCTCATCAGGGCATTTGACCTAAATGGGTGAGTCTGGGAAGAGGATAGAAAATATGGAACTGGGTGGTCCCAACTTTTAGCTCCCATGCTACTTTCCCACTAAATGAAAACGGGGTCAGTGAAGGTGGAGCTGAGAGATGGAGCTTCTGTTTTCATATCTAAGAGGGGAATGAGGTTTGAAGGGACATGAGTAAAAGTGACATGAGAACAGGAAGCCTTGCATTCCTTTCCCGGTTCTGACATCAAATCTTCTGAAAGCTACGGATTTGATCCTGTGTACAGAGGAGAGCCTCTCATACCAAGGGATCTCCTCATAAGTAAGCAGAGGAGAGTGGTTAAACTTTGGATCACCAGTCTTCCGTCATTTCAAATAAACATGAACAATCTTTACCTTCATTATTATTAACAGCTTCTGTTTTCAGTAGTGACTTAGAGTTACAGTAAAATCATAATTAAAAAGCACATGGTAATATTCAACAAATCATTTTACTACCTTCCTCTTTGCTTGTGAGAACTAAACAGTTACCTCAAGCAGAGAGTGAGATAGGTTCCCTTGCAGAAAACCCCCAGATGTTAGCACAACAAGGTGCTAAGTCTGGATGGGATTTAGCTGTTACGTCCTGGGTAAGCCAGACCTGATTGCATCACATGTATATAAAGCTGGACAGCCTGTCTGCTACACACAGTAGGAAACTTTGTCCTGAGAACCACTTTACATGAAATAGATCTTGTTTTGGTGTGGGACGCAGCATACATGCTTCTTGTACAGTTGTGAATGATGAAGGCGCATATATTTGCTCCACTGCATGTATGTACCGTGTCTACCAGCAGTGAATTAAACATATTCAGCAACTGTGACTGCGTATTGTTGTTTTTTAAACATCATAAGAACAGCCATGTAGGTTCCATTAAACAAAAGAGGTGTCCTGTTTTAAATGTGGGGGGGAAATATGAACATGTCTGTCTTTACTCACCTTAGGAAGAAGAATTTTGCCATCAGCTATCTGGGCCGAGATAAGCAAGGCCAAGAATCATATTTGTCATTGATGTCAGATTGGGATCTGGGCATGGCCTTTGCTGGAGCCTCCAAGCCTTACTTGCAGCTCAAGATAGACATCAAGCCCTCAGAGGACAGTAAGTAACACACACACACACACACACACACACACACACTGAACAAGAGAGCTGGGAGCCCTGGTTCCAGTCCTTGCACCCCTTGGTCCCATCTCAAGTCCTCACTTGGCTCCTTATGCTATGGACATGTCCAAGGAATTCAGTTCTTTTGTCTTCTCTGCCAGTGTTGTTTTCTCTTGTAGAAATGTTACCTGATTGCTGCTGTAAAGAAAGGAATGATTTGAATCACTCGATGTTGATTTAGGTACAAAATGAAGCATCAAATTTACTGGAGACTCTGAGGGAAAAAATCTTAGGGCTGAAGAGGGGGGATTGACTATGTTTCCCCACCCTCCCATATACCTTTCCAACTCTGGCTATTGTATATTTCTCAGTTTACTTTAGAACTCCCTGTTGCCTTTTTATAGAGTGCAGTTTGATCACTCCCGTTTATGGGTGGCATGCAAAGCAGCCCAAACCTTTTTTCAGACTTTGTGGATTCTGTGTTTGCAACACGCGAGTGCAGAATTTGGTACTGACTGTAGAATCCAGTCCCCTGTAACTCATCCTGCTATTCAAAGCAAATTTCTAGGGCTTTTTGATACATATTATTGTTTTCAAGCATGTGATTATGCTCAATTATTATCCATCGGAAGCAGAATTGACCCTTCACGGCAGAAGCAGAATTATGTAAAATAAGCAAGAATGTGTAAATGTTAATACTTTGTTTTCATCATTTATACAGATCATGGAACTCTGCTTTATGCTCTTTTTTCTTTTTAAAGTGAGGTATGCACAGCATGATTATTTTGTTTGTGTCCTTTCTGTAGCACTTCTCAACATGCAGTGAGATTTGACCCTGTGAAATTATGCTGGGTGGTGGTGAGGGAATGGCAGGTACAGGGCTTGGGGAGTTGGCTCATGTCATTGCCATATTCTCTTAGGCCCCCTGCTAGAAGACTGGGACATCATCAGCCCCAAGGATGTGATCAGTACCGACCTGCTGCTGGTGGAGAAGCGGTCTCTGGCAGCAGCCGCCCTGCCCTTCACTCAGTCCATCATCTCCCAGGTAAGCCATAAGAGGATGATTCTTTTGACTTAGACTTTGATGGTGTGATGTTCCACAAACAAATATCCAGGAGGTGCTTCTTAACTCCTTGGATGGAAAGAGGCAGAGGAAAGAAACCAGTTCTAACTTCCATTATCTTCCTGCCTAGCTCTATTCATGAAGCACAAAAGATCCAGTTTGTCTCAGCTTTTTTGGCTCAGAAGATTAACTCCCTCTCCTAAGTTACAGAGGTGACCCTAAAGCCAAGATATAACTACATATGTATATACAATGTCTGAGGCGGGTTGCCCGTTCTCTTCGTTAGGATATAGTTCCATTCCACCTTAAAAGGATCAGGCGTGACTGTTGTGTGTCACATGCCTGTTTACTTCCAGCACAATTCTGCTGGGAACTTCCGTTTTGTATATTGCTTTTGTATTGCTGTTTTGCTGGACACGAAGGGAAGCAGATATGTTTTTTCCTTTTTTCCTGAAGTATGCTGAATAAAATGTTGTAGATAATGCTTCCACATGGCTCTGTCCGCCTCTTCCGTTGTGAGAAGATTTATTCCCTCTGCTGATAGAGCGTGCCGAGTCTCTAAACGTACCTGAGGCTCGTGTCTCTGTTGATGCTGTTCCAAGGGAGACCGGTGATTGCCTGGCTGCCGGCCGGTGGCTGGAGCCAGCTGGGGGCCTGCCTGATGCCCCCGTCTCCCCAGCAGTATCCCAACACTCTTACCTTTGTGTTTTAAGTTACTGAGCTCATGCTGTAGAACTTACAAGTTCGTTCTTTTGAGCATGGTTGTGTACAGGTTACTTTCTGACCTCAGCTTTACTTTTGTCAACTGGCAGGTGGGCAGGACACTGTCTAAGGTCCAACAAGCACTCAGCTGGTCCTATGGCGAGGACGTCAAACCTTTCAAGCCCCCGCTGAGCGACTCCGAGTTCCACACGTACCTGAACCATGAAGGGCAGCTGACAAGACCTGCAGAGCTGCGTCTCCGAATCTTCCACGGTGGAGTTGAGCCCTCTCTACGCAAGGTGGGCATGGGGTTTCTGGAGGTCAGTTTTCTGCCTCGAGAGACAGGCATGTGGTTAAGGGGGCCAGGGCAAGGCTTCTTTCCCTTTGCTCCCACTCTGAGGCCATTTGTCTTGACCTTGGCATGGATGCATGTCTGCTGCTCTGAGGGCGGGTATCTTCCTGTAACTGATCCTTCAGCTTGTTGCCATTGATGGGAAAAGCTGTTCCAGTGTTGAGTCATCCTCCCTGTTTCCCACAGGTGGTTTGGCGATACTTGCTAAACGTCTATCCTGATGGGTTGACGGGTCAGGAGCGCATGGATTACATGAAGCGGAAGACTCGGGAGTACGAGCAGCTGAAGGGGGAGTGGGAAGCTCGCGCCAGCCCTGAGGACCTGGACTTCATTCGCAGCAACGTGCTGAAGGACGTTCTGCGAACAGATCGCACCCATCCCTACTACGCAGGCTCAGATGACAACCCCCACCTGACAGCCCTGCACGACCTCTTGACCACCTATGCCGTCACCCACCCACAAATCTCCTATTGCCAGGGCATGAGTGACATCGCCTCCCCCATTCTGGCTGTCATGGACAACGAAGCTCACGCCTTCATCTGCTTCTGTGGCATCATGAAACGCCTGGAGGGCAATTTCCAGGTGGATGGTGAAGTCATGTCGGTGAAGTTCTCCCACCTCAAGCTTCTCCTCCGCCATTCAGACCCAGAGTTCTACTCCTACCTCCTCTCCCGGGGCGCCGATGACCTCTTCTTCTGCTATCGCTGGCTGCTGCTGGAACTCAAGCGTGAGTTTGCCTTTGAGGATGCCTTGCGCATGCTGGAGGTCACCTGGAGCTCCTTTCCTCCCGACCCTCCGAGAAGGAAGTGGAGTTGGTGGGCCCGCCGGCCAGGCCCGGAGACAGCAGCCAGCCTGTTCGAAGGAGACACATGTTGCGTCCGGCTTGCAGTTTTGAGGCAGCTGGGGACCAACCCTGCCAAGGGGCAGTTTCTGATGAGAAGACACTAGTGAAACAGTCTAGCTTTGGGGAGTTCAAGTATTACAGCACTCATAATGAGGACAGCTCAGAGGATGACCCATCGCCCAGATTTCAGCGCTCAGTAGAAGAGGACGAGGACTGTAGCAATGAGCAGGATCCATTGATCCAGACAACTAATGTGGCCAAGTCCTTTTCTGCTCCATCCCTTCGGGCCTTGACTCCACCCTCTCGAGACTCAGCCTCCTCCTCAACCAACGGCAATGAGGAAAGCCAGTCGGATGAGGAGAAGGGGGACTCTGTGGTTCACACCCCTTCCTCTCCCTCCCGCGGAACTGCTGCTCCTTCTCCTGTTGCTGCAGTCAGCCTGCCACCCCCGCAGGAGTTTGGCAGAGGTAACCCCTTTGTGCTCTTCCTGTGCCTCGCCATCCTCCTGGAGCACCGAGACCATATCATCAAGAACAACATGGACTACAATGAGCTGGCCATGCATTTTGACCGCTTGGTCCGTCGTCACAACCTGAACAAGATCCTTCATCGCGCCAAGGCCCTCTTTGCAAACTACCTGCAATCTGAAGTCTGGGACTCTGAAGAGGGTGACGAGGCAGCGGCTGAATCTCCTGCCGCGTTGTGACCCCACACCCCACCCCTTTTCTTCTCTTGACATGTGGGGACTGGTTCCCTGCTGCCATTATGGTGCAAGCACTGATGTGGAAGGGTGAACAATGAGTAATCCGGCTTGGTCTCAGCTCTACAGTAATCTTCATGGGAGGTGGCCTGGAGCGGCTAAGTTGGATTGTCCCACTCAATACACCTTCTGTGTCAAATGTACTCTGTTTTTATCTATCTCTTTGTGCAAATATCTTGGCAGAGATGTTCCATCTATCTCCTGTGCCTCCTACCCTTCCAAGTGCTAATTATCTTCCTAGGAAGATCTACCCTGGAGCAGCCAGGTTTTACACTCTGTTGGCCCCTTTCCCTCCTCCTAGTCAATACTTGACATGCATTTCCCTCTCTTATCTACCCACTTACTAATGTCCTCCTTAGAATGTTGGTCACTAAGCAATCAAGATTGATTTCTGACCCTTCTGTAACCTGGTCTCTTCCGTTCTAGGCAGGTTTGCCAAAGGCATTTTAAAATGCTGAATCTTGATGTGACCTTAATTTCCCTGCACATATGCCTCTCTGCAAAAACTTGCCTTTTATGCTGAGTTATTCAAATGTTTTTGCCCATTTGGGTTTTTTAAAAGCACTTTATTTTCTCTATAATTTTGTTCATTCCTCTAGTATTGCCTTTTTGTTTTAGCTTGAAAGCGCTTTTTAAGAACTGAACTCGCAGCCTTGAAAAAATATGCTTGGTGTGTTTAAAAGTGGACTTGTAACACCCCATTGCCCTTACCGGCCGATTTTTAATCCGAACAGGTTGTCCTTTTTTAAATTGGGCCATCTCCGTGGTCTTTTGTGAATTAAATACTCACGGGGAGTCTAGTAAAAGAGTCAAGAGTCTAGTAAAAGAGTGGATTGGGAAAGTTGAATGGAGTCTTGATGCCACAGTGCCCTTATAGATCTTGCTCTTGGGTAAGTAATATCTTGTGTCTGGCTCGCACACTTTCTCTTAACTAGCGATCTCCTCAGCTGATGTATCATCCAAGATTTGCTTGCTGTAAAAACAGCCATTGCCTGGTCAAGTGGGTTTTGTTTCCAGTCTCTCTAACTGGCTTTCTTATTTAAACGCAGGTTGCCAAATTCTTAACAATGGTTTCTCTATGCATCTTTAGCTTGCAGGGCAGGATTGCGCTGGAACATGTAGCAACAGATTCTGTATCATTAGACAGAGAGAACTCAAGCTGCTTCTAGTCTTGATGCATTAATCTGAAGTCAAATAGTAGCAAATGGTAGTATTCTTTGCCTCTTGATAGAGAAAAAGTGTTTTGATTCTTGAATCTCCATTCTTGCTGTTTCTAGGTTAAACTGGAAACCAAATCACTTGTGACCCTGTCTTAAAACTGTTTGATTATTGAGAGTTGATACCTGAATAGGCTGTGCTGCTACCTTTCTCCCTTGGAACAGACTGGGTGCGAGATGCCGTAGATGGGACAAAAAGTAGACTGTGTTGAATACTGTTGTCAGTAGCACCACTTTTCTGGCCAAAAGGTACATTGTTGTGGGCTCACTCTGCTTCAGATGAGAGCAAAATGGGCTCAACCATGTCCCTAAAGGCCACTGGAAACATTTTAACTCCAGTGTTAGGGTTCGGTTTCCATTTTAGATGTGCAATTCCTAGATTCAGTGGCAAATTATTTTGAGACTACCCCCTCCCCCCTCTCTCTTAATGTTGGGGGTGCCACAGTGTGCCCTGTTCTCCCCCCCCCAATTCCTCCATGTGTTCATTTGCCTGCCTTAATTCACAGCTAGCTGTGGCTTTAAATCCCCAGGGTGGGTTTCAACTAACTAGTTCTGCTGTGGAAACCTGCGTAAGGACATCTGCCTGCACAACAGGGCTTCCCATTCCCTCCTCCACACCCCCTGAAATTTGCTCTGAGGGGTCAGGAGAATCCCCAGAACAGCATGTGGGAGGGTAGAAGAGAAGGGTCATTCAGTCCAACAGACATAACACTACATTAAATTCCTTCTCCAGACTAGAAAATTTTTGGCTTAGAAAAAGGATATACTGGAAGGTGGGAACGAGGTGAAGCTTCTCAGGCCATCACATCTTTTCTAGCCAGAGCAGCCTTTACTACCATGGGCTTTTAAATCTCTGCAGGCCAAGAGCAGAAATCGGCAGGGGCCACAAATGAGGCTTGCCATCAGCAGTGAGGTCTTAAGCAGCTTCCTTTCTTGATTGGTTGGAGTTGGGTGAATTTTAACAACCTGAGAACCATCAAAGTCAATAAGAGAATCAAAGCAGGGCTAATTAAAAGGGACTTCAGATAGCTTAGTGCCACAGAGGCACCTGTACTTCATTTGGGGGGGGGGGGCGAGATGCAGAACTGCAAGTCCTATCTATCTGTATTTTTTTAAAGGCATGAGCTCATTCTTTTAATGAAATGTCCACTAGAAGGAGCTGTAGCTTAGTTTAAAACAATGAAGCTACATTGGAGGAGGTCTGTACAGCTCTCTGCACCCTTTCACCAACTCCTTCCGTACTGACACTGATGGCAGTAGAGGTGAAGACAATTAATCAGAAGGCATAGGTCCTTTTGAGAACAGAGGTCAAGGAAAGGTAGAATAACCAGTTTTGGAGCTACATCCATTACATAGGTCCCATATTGTCCTGTTTTTTAAAAGAAGTTGATTCTGGATGAATGCAGAGTGTCAAGCTTGGCTTGCAAAAGGTGGTTCATAGACACACACACATACCCCAGTATGGTGGCTTGCTTCCTACAGGATGCTGTTGAAGTCACTGTGTCTGAACTAGGTCTCCTTGGTTATTTAACTTGCAGGATGTCCCTACATTATAATCAAGATACATAGTTCCCCTTTACATTGAGGACAGGATGCACATCATCTCCCAACCTTTTGGCCATGCTCAGAAAACTTCCTTTCAGGATTGTAGTCCTCAAAGTCTGGTGGTTTTAGGATGACTGTCTTCCTCTGCCTGCCTCACTCCCCCCCCCCCCAATACTGCACCACGAGGAACTGAATCAACTATCTGAATAATACAATGGCTTTAACTGACATTGGAAACGTGATTGGTTTATTAACAAGGGGGTTGGTGGGGAAAGAAGAGTTGCTTAATTAGCATTACTTGTAGCTTTAAGGTGTGCTTGGATATTACTTGCTTTGGGAATTGGGAGATGACCCCTTGCCACCCTTGTCTGAGCCCCTGTTCCTCCTCGCTCTTCTCTCCCTCCTCCCCTACTTCTGCCACCACCACGCACCCCTCCTGTTCCCTCTGTGTGCCTCTAGCAAAGGAATCCTGCCATGAGGCAGCTGCCCCGTGGAAGAAAGACCTGAGCCATGGGTTGTAGTCCACTGGGAAGCTTTCCTAACTAAAATAACCAGGATCTCTTTTTTGTGTGCAGCTCCTGTTAGCATCCATGAAGTCTGCGCAGGAGAAGTTCCTTCATTAATAAAGGGTAGTGATGATATACAGCATGTATGGCTGTATCTCTGCTTCTGAGAATCCACTAGGGGGCAGTCTTGCTTATCACAGGGGTACGGTACGTTACTAAGCTCCATCTCTCACTCCCCTAATTTCTGCTTTCGTTGTACCTTGCCTCTTCCTGGCATTGGAAGCCAAGCAGAAGTTTCACAGGCTGTGATGTAAACTCCGTTTTCCGTTATTCCACCTTTGGAGCCTTCTTCCTGCACTTGGTGCTGATGGTCAGATTCCATTGGAACAAGACTTCTACCTTATCCAAACTTGTTGCTCTGTGTTATATTTATAAGTGTGTGCTTTTCCTCTGCCTTCATATTAGTTGTGTGCTGCTTATTTATTTTGCAAGCTTTTTGGCGGGGGTTATTTTAGTTTTGGGCTGGGATGTGTGCACAAACGCAAAGGTGTTGAGGGAGGGCTGTCTGGCTTTGAGGACTGTTTGTGCCAGAATCCCACTACACATGTTTGGCCTGGTTTTTATTTTTTGTGGGATAATTTATATAGGCTTCCCACCTATATAACCAAGTTACTCAAAGAGCTTCAGCCGAAGAAACGCCTTGTTCAAAATTATTTGAGTGAAAATTCAAAATATAAAGGTGTCCAATAATGTTCATAGGCAGAAGATTTGGGATTACAAGAGATGGGGTATTGAATTGGACTTCTGTGTGGCTTTCATGAGAAAAAATCTCAGTGGATTGTGTTCCCCTTTCAACAAATAGGAGGTAGAGTGCCATTTTGATTTTCTCCCAGCAACACCAAAATGTTTTGTTTATCCTGTATATTTTCAAAGCTTAAATTGGAAGCTTAAATTGGAAGCTTAAATTTGTGTTCACCTGCTGAGAGAATGGAAGCATACGAGCTGCTTTCTTGTTAACCCAGCCTCTCTTTTGTAGATCTTGAATCCTTTAACAATGTCCAGCCTACGTTCAGAGTCCAGCCTATGTTTATGCCTCTGGGACAAGTTTGCTTCATTCTTCTTCATAGCTTTGCTGACTCCAAATGGGGTCCAGTGGGGTCAGGGAGTCACCTCCAGCCAACCCAATTTACAAATGAACTGAAAAGGAACAGCAAGTAGATTGGGTGGCAAGAAGCGAGGCCGTCGCCTTTGGAGTTCAGTCTCTCCCCCCATCCCACAATCTCCCTCCCTCTCATGAAATGTGGCATTCATAGTGCTATGTGCTTGAACGGGTCCGTCTTATTTAAAACATTTCTGTCTCATATATGTATGCAACTTCTTTCCACTTTTGATCCCCTCTTAATGTGTAATCATTCAACTCAAATGGCCCTTTTTCTTCAAGGCCTCAGGCACTTTTGTCTCTCCTTGTTTTAAAGCTGATGTGATAAAGGAATGGAAATCTAAATAAAGCAGTTCTGCTTGCTGATTTCATTCAGAGCTGCTTGGTGTGCCTGGTCTGCCCAGACAGAAATAATGGTGTTGGACAGAAACCAGCAGGTTTCCAGCCCTAGAGGCTCACAGGCAGAGATGTGATGAGACGAAGGAGTGAACAGTTGGTAGACAACATATTATAAATTGATACACACTGAAACAGCACAGATAAAAAATGTGGACCTGTGTTAAAAGTCAAAATGGGGAATTAAAAAAAAAAAAATCTGTACCAAGAAAAGCCAAATCTGTTTACATGGAATAAACTTCTTCCAAGTAATTTATATAATTGCACTTTAGGTTACTTGTTGGATTTCTTCCTGTCGTGCAGTTGTTTAAAAGTACCAGAGCCAGCTTTTCCTTCCAACAGGGTGAAGTGACCTGCCTGAGGTGGTAGAGGAAGTGGAAAGAATCTATCTGTCGGATGGATGAAGGCAGGAATTGGTGTCTGAATAGTGCAACCAGACTTTAAAATATTGGCCGTGGTGTGTTGGAGGGCACCATTCGGCCGCCTGCTTCAGGCAGCAGAAATGCCATAGGCAACACTGAAGCTACAGATCTTTCGGCAGTGACAAACATGGCAACCCCATCCAGGAAGGATTCAATATTTGATGTATATCCATACAAGCTTGGTAACTGGAGAGTTGAGCTGCCAGCAGCGAAACTATATTTTGTAGATGGCAAATAATTTGCTAGATTCTGTGGGTTGCAGAGAATAATTTGACTGTGGTTGATACTGGACTGGATTGCAACCATAAGGAACAAAAGGCCAGTGTTGTTAAACTTGCATAGAATCTATCATAGTTAACTGAACACCTACAGTTTATTGGTGAATTTGCTTAGGGAAACAGTAGTACTCCGTGCATTACTAGGAAAAACCTGCTTAGAGTGCCAACTGCAAAGAGAGTAAGCATGGAAGGGTAGCTAAATAGAGATTGCTGTGGGGATGAGACAGTTTTAGGAGGAAACGTTAGGCACTGGGAAACACAGGCTATGTATCTGCAAAAGACATGGGTTTTACTTGGAACAGTGGAACAAGGACACTTAACATCAAAAAGGTCATTGTGCAGTTCTTAAATGAACTTCTGGTGGTAAGCCACCAAGAACTGTGTCGAATCTGATTCAGGATGACTTCATTCCATAGCAGTGATTGTGTAAATCAAGGGTGGGGAGCATGTAACCCGGGGGTGGCCAGTGTGGTACCCTCCTGGTGTTGGAACTACAACTCCCATCCTTCCTGGCCATGTTGTCTGGTGCTCCTGGGGAGTTAACAATACCTGAAAGGAGCACAGGTTTCCTACCCTTGGTGTAAATGCTTCTAGTTCTCAGAATGGGATTAGGATAGAACTTGGCAACAAGGAATGCCTTGTGTGCTTATATGCCAACCCGATGTAGTGCATATAATGCGTAGCTAGAATATTGCCTCAGATCTTGAGTCATTCCCAGGTCACACTGTTTTTCTATGGAGCTGTGATTCCAAAACGTGTCACGTCTAAACGCCAAGCCATCATTTACAGAGCGGAAAGAAAGTGCAAGCAGGAGCCCATATCTTGTCATAGTTACATCTTTGATTTATTTATGGGAAGAGTAAAGGACAGTTGGTTACAGCATGGTGCTGATAATGCCAAGGTTACATGTTCAATCTCCATATAGGACAGCTACATCTTTCCGTATTGCAGGGGTTGGGGTAGATGATCTCTAGGGTACCTTCCCTTGAGTTCAGAAGATTGTGCTTCTAGGGGACCTTGGCTCACTTCGCCTGGGCCACAGCTGTTTGATGGAACCAAATTTTCCAATACAATCAAATCTCGGTTCTTGAATGGCTCCGTTTTCTAATGTTTTGGCTCCCAAACGCCAAAAAACTGGAAGTAAATGCTCTGGTTTTTGAATATTTTTCGGAACCCGAACATCTGACGCGGCTTCTGCTTGAGTGCAAGAAGCTCTCAGAACCAATTAGTAGCCATGCCTCAGTTGTCAAACGTTTTGGAAGTCAAACAGTCTTCCGGAGTGGATTATGTTCAACAAGTAAGATTTGACTGTAGCTACTTCCATGCTGACTGCAAGATGGAGCCAGTTGGGCAGAAGGTAGGCATTATATAAAATTGTGAGGATAAGACAGGCTGCAAGTCCCAGAGTTGCTTCCATCATGGTGATATTGGCTCCTCTGACAGTGGTCCTAATGAAGTCTGGACACCCAATTTCCAGCTCTAGCATTTGTCCCAATTCACTAACCTCACTAGGTCAGACTACAATGCGTTATATGTGGGATTGCCTCTGAAGACAGTACAGAAAGTTCAGCTGGTGCAGAATTTGGCAGCCAGGTTGCTCACTGGAGTAAGATGGTTTGAGCATATTACATCAATCCTGGCTCAACTGCACTGGCTGCCAACTAGTTTCTGGGCCCAATTCAAAGTCCTGGTTTTGACTTATAAAGCCCTGAACTGCTCTGGACCACAATATCTCAAGGACCACCTCTCCCCACATAAACAGTTCATCATCTGTTTGTGTGCCTATTCCATGAGAGGTCAGGAGGATGGCAACATGAGAACAGGCCTTTTCTGCAGTGGCTCCCCATTTGTGGAATGCCCTCCCCAGGGAGGTTCGGCCGGTGCCTTCATTATACATCTTTAGGCACCAGGCAGGAACGGTTCTCTTTTACCAGGCCTTTGGCTAATTAAACAATCTGTGGCTTTTAAACGTGGGGTGGGGTGATAGTTTTTGTCTCTTACTATGTTACGTATTTTTGTGTTTTTATATTGTAAAACTGCCCTGTCATCCTTGGATGAAAGGCAGTATAGAAAACATTAATGAATAATAAAACCTCAAATGTAAAGAGCAAGCTGTATTGTGAACTGGGGTTCACCCCTTTTATGAACTACAGGGTCAGTCCTAGAACACCATGCGAAGCAGTGTCCGTGAAAAGTTGCCTTTCTGCTACTCCTGAGAAACAGGCAATTGGCTACACACTGAAGCTCCAGGCAGAGCTTTGACAGCCAAAGAGAGTGTCACTTCCAGGAAGATTTCAGCCCTGGCCTGGCACATCCCTCTCTGTAACTGGTTGTTGATAATAGGAAGAAGCAACATGAGAGTTGGCAAATAGTAAAGGGCATGAACCTCTTCCACATCGGAGCTTAAGGTTGGTGATACTAAAGCAAACAAAGCGTTCAATGATCGGTTGTTATAAGAAGCTGCGGAACTGACATTTCCGTCATCAAACTGGATGACAGCTCTCTCCCCCCCCTTTTTTTGGTCTTACCGTTTTGTATTCATCATAGCATTGTACACAATAACACCCAAAACACTACAAACAGAGTAGTTTGCACAGCCAAATCCCAAGGACAGTTTCTCAGGGTTTGCGTAAGGACTTGTGGTAGGTCTTTAATCACAAACAACTAAACGGAGTACGAATTGTCCAGGATTTGTCATTTGCTGCAGCAGCAAATGATTAGGACTATATTGTTGGCATCCGTCTGTCTCAAGAGACAATGGAGTGTGCTGTGGGGGTGAAGTCAAACTGCTGCATTTACAGTACCGAAGTGACGTCCCTGGGGCACAAGCCTGGGCAGTGTTCATGGAGGTTCTGGGCTGCCCAGACGACAGGACCCCTCCCTCAGCCTCGCTGATGAGGTCCAGAAGAAAGCAGAGCAATATGTCTGGCACCAGCTTGGCTGCAGGGACGCGGGTGGCGCTGTGGGTAAAAGCTCCCGTTGCTCGGTCCCAGCGCCTGCCAACCTAGCAGTTTGAAAGCACTCCCGGGTGCAAGTAGATAAATAGGGACCGCTTACTAGCGGGAAGGTAAAACGGTGTTTCCGTGTTCGGCTCTGGCTCGCCAGAGTAGCTTCGTCACGCTGGCCACGTGACCCAGAAGTGTCTCCGGACAGCGCTGGCCCCCGGCCTCTTGAGTGAGATGGGCGCACAACCCTAGAGTCTGTCAAGACTGGCCCGTACGGGCAGGGGTACCTTTACCCTTTACCTTGGCTGCAGGAGTTGCAGGAAGGAGGCATACAAGACACCATCCAACCACCTTAGGGACTCCACTCTGGATTTGTGTAGCTTTTTCTTCTCCTGAAGATACCCTGCAAGGCAGCGGAGGGTTAGGATCAGAGTTTTCTTTCCCCCTTCCCAGGTTGACAAGCCCCATCTGCCCCTCAGGGCCATGTGCACACCTTATTTAAAAGAATAGCCAAGGTGATATACATGTATGCAATATGTAAATAATTCCATATATACAACATACATTTAAAGCACATCCACCCCTGCAAGGAATGCTGGGATTGTCGTTTACACCACACAGAGCTACACTTCCCAGTACAGTGGCACCTCAGGTTAAGAATTCGTTCTGGAGGTCCGTTCTTAAACTGAAACTGTTCTTAACCTGAGGTACCACTTTAGCTAATGGGGCCTCCTGCTGCCGCCACACAATTTCTGTTCTCATCCTGAAGCATAGTTCTTAACCCAAGGTACTATTTCTGGGTTAGCGGAGTCTGTAACCTGAAGCGTCTTTAACCTGAGGTACCACTGTACCCTTAACAAACTAGAGATCCCAGCATTACCTTTTTTTTTTTTTGAGGAGGTGTTCTTTCAATGCATGGTGCGCATGTGGGATTAATTACATATTGCGTACATGTATATCATATCAGCTGTCAGGATGTCCCCCCCCCGCTTCATTCCTTCTATTTTTAGGTATCGCCCTGTCAACTTGCCTGTCTCTATGCATACCCACACCTTGAAGGCGGAGCTGCATGCGCCTTTTTGCCGCCAAAAACAGCCCCGTCTCTAATTCTGGCAGTAAAATATGACGCCAGCCCAGGCAATGGGACCTTGTCCTCCATTGGACCTGAGAGCAGGCTAGTTTAGGGAAGGTATGGCAGGCTGGGAAGCAGCTGAGGGGAAGGCTTAGAAGGAAAGGCCAGAGCAGAAACAGTTACTGCTTCCCTCTCTTTGGCCACCTGAGGTGACTGCCTTATTTTGGCCTAATTTAGGGCCAGGCCTGCGTTGCCACTGTGGATAGTGCTAGTAAATGTGGGGCAGGGGCACTTGTCAAGGCCTCAATGGCTGTCAGGGCAATTGAACTGAGAGGACCACAATTTAGGTTTGCATGAGGCACCCGCCACATAACTTTGGAGCCAGCCTGGGCCTTTTCTCATTTCTGAGTGACCTGCGTGAAGTGAGGGGATTCCCCCAAATGCTGGAACCTGCATAAAATCTCATGCCAGAGTAAACGGGTCTCTAGGATGTCACAACATTGTACCCAGGAAGGCAAGGCTCTCATGGATATCATAGG